CTAGGCAATTTTAAATTAATAGTTATCTAAGCTTGAGGAAAGGATTTCCCAAACATGAAGATCATAGTAAAATCATAGTTTCAAAGTTTTGCAAAATTTAATAGCAAATGACAAACATGAGAAAAATATTTGCAGAATAAATGGTTTTTAAGAAAAACGATACTTACCGCATGCCCAACTCTTATAAATCAAATAGCCAATAAATATTAAAATGCTAAAATTGGGGCACCTGTGTGGCCCAGTCAGTGAAGCGTCTGACTCTTGATTTCTGCTCAGGTCATGATCTCGTGGTTCATGGGATCAAGCCCCATGCTGAGCTGACAGCATGGATCCAGCTTGGGATTCTCTCTCTCCCTCTCTCTGCCCCCACCCCTGCTCGTGCTTATGTGCTTGCTGTCTCTCTCTCTCTCTCTCTCTCAAATTAAATTTCTTAAAATGCTAAAATTAGACCAAGAAAAAAAAAATAAACCAGGAAAGGAACATTATAAGAGTAGTCTGAAATATTGTAGTTATTCATACAATTGAGAGAATTTGAAAGAAAAGTAGCAGGAGTGTTTCTGGTATTGAAAGGAACTTAGACACCACTAATAGACATGTTAATTAGTACAGTATTTCTGAGGGCGGTTGGCAACATAAATCAAATTGGTTTAAAACCTTTGACCCAGCAATTCTGCTTGAAGGAACTGTTCTGAAAGCAATAAAGATTCGCCCAAAGATCGAGCCACAAAGCCACAGGGTGTTCGTCACACATAGTTAAAATAAACCAACCAACAGAAAGAAACAATTTACAGTGTCCAACAGGAGCTTAAATTCCAATACACCCTTAAGACGGAATACTACGCAGCCAGTTTAAATGTTGGGCCTGGAGATCCACAATCAATCAGTGGAAAGAATGCAGGTCCCAGAACAATAGGTACCGTCGGAGCTCCTTTTCTCTTTTCGAATACACAAACTCATAGGAAAAAAAGTCTAAGAGAACACACATCGAAGTGCTGGTGACAGTTGGCCCCGGACGGTGAGATTACAGGTGCTTTAAAATGTTCTTCCTGTTGTTTACCTAAAATAATTTTCCTTTAGGGAACATGCTGCTTTTGCAATGAGAAGGGAGATTATTTTAAAGATTTTTTTTTTTTAGTAGTGTAGCATAGTTAAGGCCCCAGGGGAATGTTAGTGGCGAATCACCGTCAAATAGTACGTTCGGCCTGATCATACTTCTTAATTTCAGAAACACAGTTATAAGGTGAGAACTAACAGTAGCTGTGAGTAACTACAAACACAGACAAGTTGCAGCATTTCCAAAATATGTCTATCTACAGCTACCAACAGCTTTAAAAAGATGCAGACGAGGGCGCCTGGGCGGCTCAGTCGGTTGAGCGTCTGGCTCTTGGTTTCTGCTCAGGTCATGATCTCGCAGTCGTGAGACTAAGCCCCATGTCGGGCTCTGTGCCGCCGGCGTGGAGCTTGCTTGGGATTCTCTCTCTCTCTGCCCCTCCCTTGCGTGCGTGCTCTCTCTCTCTCTCTCTCTCAAAATAAATACAAAAAATCAAAAGGTACAGATGATGTGTTATTGTCAGCCTACTCACATTTTGTAGAAGAAGTATTTACACACATGGACAGGAAAGAGAAGTTTTTACAGTGGTTATCTCTGGGTGGTAGAATTGTATGCGATTTTAAGAAATTATTTGTGTATGTTTTCCAAAGTACACAGGTATCTTTTTCTAAAAGGAAGATAAAGGTAAAGAAAGAAAAGGCCCAGTGGTCTACATATCTGTGAATATGTCCTGCCTGCCCCTTGGATACTGTTAGGAATACCTGAAATATCACCGTAGCCTCTTGGAATACAGGCCTCTGAAATGTCACCTAAGCTCCAGTGAAAACTTCAACTTGTTACTCCAACAATATGTATGTTGAACCTACTTACTGGACTCTGGACGCTAATGCTCTCCTTTGAAAGGAAAAAGAGAAAAACCCGCTCAACAGCGTAACAGGAAAAAGTATCCTCTCGGTAGCTTGAGAGGAAACTGGAGACGATGCTTTATAAAAAATGTATTAGCTGCCAGACAACGAGAAGCCCATCTGAGGTGTAAGTGCATCTGACACATCAGTTCAAAAACAATACCATGCGGGCCATTGGGATTTGGAGAATGGCTACCTGAGAAAAATGAAACATGGGGTGCGTTGCCGTAGCAAACGAGGCCAAGAACTTCAGCGGTTGAGGCCATGAGAGTCTGTTGTCTCGTAGGGCTCTTGCTCGTCTGGGCAGTTTTGCACTCACCTAACAGATTTGTGGCTGTCAAGTCCCCGTGTAGCACCGGCTAATACCTCCTGCACGCGGTGCGTGCTGGGCACCGTTGTGATGCTTTGCACGAACAGCTTCACTCGTGTAATCCACAAAACCGTCCTACGAAGTAGATACTATCACTATCCCCACTTAACAGATGAATAAAAGGGAGATCATTTGTTTCAGGTCACAGAACTAAGGACTAGGTTTGGTCAAGATCTGAAACACAGTGAGGTGCCTGGGTGGCTCGGTCGGTTCAGCATCTGACCCGATGACGTTTAGGTCACGATCTCACGGCTCCTGAGCTGGAGCCCCGCATCGGGCCCTGTGCTGACGGTGCGGAGCCCGGAGCCCGCTTCGGATTCTGTGTCTCCTTCTCTCTCTGCCCCTCCCCCACTCATGCTCCCTCTGTCTCTCAAAAATAAGTAAACTTAAAAAAAAAAAAAAAGTAACATAGGACTGTGACTCTGACTCCCACATTCAGGTGCAGGAAGCATCCAGAATAACCCCAATGAGATGGGCTTATATGATGTGCCTTTCCAATGATTTTTTTTTTTTAACGTTTATTTATTTTGAGAGAGAAAGAGAATGCACACACGAGTGGGGTGGGGTGCGGGGGGAGGGAGAGAGAGAGGGAGGGGGAGGGAGAGGGAGGGAGAGAGAGAGAGCGAGCATGAGCAGGAGAGAGGGCAGAGAGAGGGGAGAGAGAGAGAGAGAGAGAGAGAGAGAGAGAGAATCCTAAGCGGGCTCTGCACTGTCAGCACAGAGCCTGATGTGAGGCTCAGACCCACGAATTGTTCAATCACGACCGGAGTCAAAACCCAGAGTTGGACGCTTAACCGACCCAGGCGCCCCTAGCGCCCGTGCTTCTGAGCCCTTTGCTTTAAGATGAGCTTCCATGTGAAGGTGTTGGATATTTGTTCTGTGTCAGGCCTTAAGTGTTTCACTTGAATCGTTTCGTCTGAAATATCCCCAACATCCTTCCAGCAAAGAGGCTGAGAAGTGGCCGGTGTCTTCAGCCGCCAACAGGTTCTTTATTAAAAAGTTTCCAAGAGAACATAGCAGACAGAGTGGCTCAAAGAAAGAGGTTTGCGACCAGAGCGACCAGGGTCTCAATACTGGATCTGCCATTTACTCAGCTCTCCTATCTTTCTGTCCCTCGTTTCCTGCCTCTCTCCACTGTCCATCCATCCACACGGCGATTAGCGGAGACTAAATGGAAGTCAAACCATCTCCAGAACGAGGGAAGTCACTGCAGTCGCGGAGAACCCCCTACTCTGGCAGGGAGAGGTTGCCCGCAGGTGACAGGGCTGGGGGAGCCAGAAGGAGGTGATGCCTAAACACCGTCCTCAACACGCGAACTCCCCAGGCCGGCGGCACCGATGACGCCTGGGAACCTGTCAGACACGCAGCATCTCCCAGAGTGGACCCAGGCGCACTTTAGGAAGTCCTGCAGACCCTCCTGCCGCACGCTGGAGTTTGGGAGCCCCTGGAGCCCCCGGGACACACGGTAGGCCCCCACCCTCAGAGCTGAGGTGGATTACCCGCAACTTGTGAGCCATGACACCCATGTGTGAACTCGCTCCCTTGACGGATCAGAGCCGATTCGAAGCTTCCCCTGCGAGAGCGTCACATTCTGACTGGAGACGAGTGGGTGGCGTTACAGAAGCAACTAGAAGTGCCAAAGTCTCCAAGAGGCCGTGGGGGGGGGGGGGGCAAGGTGGGAACACGGACAGTAGGGTGCCGCGATGGGGCAAGGCTGAAACCCAGCCCCGTCTTTTCTGGCTGTTGAGACCGCGGCCCCCAGAGGGCTACAGGGGGCACTGACACACCAGAACTCACCTCCTTGGGCCACACGCTCAGCCTGTCCCTCGCTTCCCTGGGCCCCTGTCAGCTAGCAGGTTCCCCCCTTCCCTCCCCTCACACGGCTGCCCTGGCACTCTGCCCACCAGAATGACCGACGTCATGTCCCAGGAGGTCCGGCAGCACCAGCCTGAGAAGATCCGAAAACCACGAGTCCCAAGAGACCCGAAGCGAGCCAACAACTGCGCACTGGGCACCTACTGTACGGAGGGCCCCGCACCAGGAAGAGAGACAAAAAGAACCTCCGCGTGGTCACTGCCTGCAAAGGGTCGGTAACGAAACAAAACATAAACCCCCACAACTACAGAGGTAATTCAAGCTCTGAACTGTAGATCCCAAGACACCACGTGGCGTTTGGGCCACAAGGAGGTACCAGTCAACCAAATTAGCGGTTGGACGTCTTTGTGGAGGAAGAGGGACCTGAGCTGAGGCCAGGGGAGGAGTACGTGCACGGGCAGGGAGCGGGGGCGGCAGTCACACCAGCAAAGCCGCCGGTCGGAGAAGGCTCGGCGGGACAAAGGGCAGCATTCAGGGAGCTTAGCAGTCTGTTACGTTGGGGCGCCCGGGTGCCTCCATTGATTGAGTGCCCGACTCTTGATTTCAGCTCGGGTCGTGATCCCAGGGTTGTGGGATCAAGCCCTGAGCCAGGCTCCTCCACGCTGAGTGTGGAGCCTGCTTAGGATTCCCTCTCTTTCCCTCTCTCTCCCTCTGGCCCTCCTTCCCTGCTTGTTTGCACGCTCTCTCAAAAAGGAGAAGGAGGAGGAAGAGGAGAAGTCTGTTCTGTCGGAGGGCAGAGAGTCTGGCAACAGTTGGAAGTGTATGTAGAGGCACAGAAGATAAAGCTTGGAGCCAAATGGTCAAAAACCTTGGCAAATTTATTCTATAGGCCACGGTTTCCCAATGTATGTGTTTCTCAGAATATTCTCCTTGCAGAATTTTAATAGACGTCATGGGACTAAATAGGTTCCACTGGGGGGAGCGTCGCCACACCAAGCAATTCTTGGGACTCGAGCTGCAGGCCCTCCAACTCATCAGTTCTGACACTTCCTATCCCGATAGCATCGGAGTCAGAGTAAGAGCTCAGTCCTACAAGACTGCTCCCCACATCCCCCACTCACCCCTCCTTCCGACGACAGTCACAAGCCCAGGTTGTCACCCACACTTCTGACTGCCTGCTGTAATTGAGGGCTCCGTGACCCCCTCCTCAGGTTTGGTTAATTTGCTTGAGGGGCTCACAGAACTCAGAATCATTTTACTTACTAGATGACCAATTTATTATACAAGGATAGGACTCAGGACGGGCCAGAGGGAGGAGACGCACAGGCCAGGAGCCTCCGCGCTCTCTGAGTGCACCACTCTCCCCCAGCCTCCATTTGTTCACCAACCCAGGAGCCCTCTGTATCACCCCCTTTTGGGTTTCCATGGAGGCCTCATTGCACAGGCACAGCTGATTAACTCATTGGCCATTGGTGATTGAACTCAATCTCCAGCTCCTGGCCCTTCACCCAAAGCGGTGGTGGCCAGGGGTGGGGTGGGGGTAAGGCTGCCAACCAGCCCTAACTTTAGGTGGGGTCCGAAAGTCACCTCCTTAACATAACAAACGACACCTTTGTTGCTCTCAGCATTTAGGAAATTCCAAGGCTTGGGGAACTTCTGTGCCAGAAACAAGACCAAATCTGTATCTCTTAGTATAAATCACAGGATCACAGGACGAGACAGCTTCGCAACCTCGTAGTCTTAGACATTTGCACTGTTTCACAGGTATCTTACCTGCAGGACCTCTTGAATTGTGACTCTTTTAGAGGGAGACGGATGCGGCGTTTTCCAAACCTGCTTCAATTCGGAACCCTCTTCTGGGGGCTAGCGCTCTGGGCGAGAAACTTGGTTTGTAGATTCCTGGGGGCGGGCCCGTTCCTGCCGCGCTCTCCTGAGAAGCTTGTGTAAGAACGAGGCCTGGGAGGTCTGCCCCAGGCAAGCCCAATGTGTAATCAAGCTTGGGAGAGGCTGGTTTCCTTTGTTGCCCCTGAATTCTAAGGTGCCAATGGTGAGGGGAAGAGAAAGGTGGGAGAAAGGTGAAGGAAGGATGAAGAAACCCTGGGGCTTGGATCTGGAGGAGCTGGTGGGAAAAGGGGTGCTGAGAGGGAGGGGGCACCCACGGACGGAGGGGGTGGGAGGAGGGACACTGAGTGGGCACAGAGGTAAAAGGGTCAGGAACAGAACAGAGATGGGAAGGAAAAACCTCACTTGGTAGTATAAACAACCTTAACACCTGCGGAGGGGCTCATGGTCTACAAAGAATCTTCCGGAATACCAGCTCCATCTTCCTTACAATCCCATGACGTGGGTGGTCAAATTATCCCCATTTTTCTTGGCTCAAGGAAATCGAGGCTAGGCAGAGTGGACAGGGGCTGTCCCGTATCCAGCTCCTGTTCGCATCCCTAAGACCTGCTAGCTCCTGGAACGCCACACTGCCCGCTGCCTTTCCCAGGCTGGCTCCTCCTTCCGGCCTGTTGGGAAAGCTGCCACATGTCTCTCCTCACATCCCTTTTCTGTCTGAATCAGCCAAAGTACATTTTCCGTAACTTCCAGGAAGCCTGACTTGAATCAGAAAGGTTAAGTGTGGGCCTGAACTCGTCTCTCAAGATTCAGAACTCCGCCCATCTTCTGCTGTGCCAGGCTGTGGCATCGAAAAGTTTAATGAGTTCGATTTTAGTCCTACGATAACGTCACTGATGAATATCCAGTGGGAATTTCCAGTAGGCATTTGGAGACGCAGGACGAGTACTTGGGATAAAAGTCAAGGTAGAAATATGGATTTCGGAATCAGTGCCATTGAAATCATAGGTGTCAATGGAGCATCTCATAACACAGGGCGGGTTGTGACAAAGCATTCAAAGTACCCTGATGATCCGAGGAACAGTTTGAAAGTCCTCCTGAAGAAGAACTTTGGAAAGAGAAGGAACATGACGAGAAATGTGGAAATGCCAGGCACTGGGGGACACTGAGAGGTAGAAGCCGCTGATGGTTCGAGGCAGTTTCCTGAGAGGATAGTAATATAAAACGTTCACTCGGCAGCATGCGCTGTATGATCCCATTTTATTATTTTTTTAAATGTTTATTTATTTTTGAGAGAGAGAACATGAGCGGGGAAGGAGCAGAGAGAGAGAGCAAGAGAGAGAGAGGGAGACACAGGCTCCAGGCTCTGAGCGGTCAGTGCAGAGCCTGATGCAGGGCTCGAACCCACGAACCGTGAGATCATGACCTGAACTGAAGTCGGATGCCCAACAGATTGAGCCGCTCAGGTGCCCCCCACTTTATTTTTTATGTATATTTGCATAAGTCTGATGGATCTACATCAAAATATTTGCAGTGATTATCTCTGGATGCTGCAATTTTTGTTACCTTCTGACACATTAAGCATTCATCAGTTTTTTTTCCAAGATAAAATTCATATACCATAGGGGTGCCTGGGTGGCTCGGTTGGTTGAACATCTGACTTTGGCTCGGGTCATGATCTTGCGGTCTGTGAGTTTGAGCCCCGTGTCGGGCTCTCTGCTGACAGCTCAGAGCCTGGAGCCTGCTTCCTTCCCTCTCTCTCTCTCTGCACCTCCCCTGCTTGCATTCTCTCTCTCTCAAAAATAAATAAACATTAACAAAAATTCATATACTATAAAACTAACCATTTTAAAGTGTACAATTCAGTGAGTGTTAGTATATTCACGAAGTCATACAACCATCACTACCTAATTCCAGAAAATTTTCGTCACTCCAAAAAGACACCCTGTACCCATTAGCAGTCACACCCGTTACTGCTCCCTGACCCAACCTAGGTAACCACTGATACCTCTATTTCCACGCATTCGCCTGTTCTGGATATTTCAAATAAACGGAGTCATCCATAGTGATTAGACTTATTGGGGTAGTCATTTCAGAACATATGCAAAGAGTGTGTCACTCACTATGTTATACACCTGAAATGAACAACATTGCATAAAAAATCAGAAAAGGGCACCTGGCTGGCTCAGTCAGAGCATACGGCTCTTGATCTCTGGGTCGTGAGTTTGAGCCCCGCACTGGGTGCAGAGATAACTTAAAAAACAAATAACTTTCTAAAAAGAAGAGAAAATGCAATTTGTAAGTGATAAATGCTTTTCAATCTTTTTTTTTTTTAATGGAATTATCCAAGAGGTAGCTTTTGTGACACATGGCTTCTTTCACTTGGTATAGTGTTTTGATGGTTTATCCACATTGTAGCGTGTATCAGTGTTATCATTGCTGCTTTTCGCCAAATAACATTCCATTGCATGGCCGTACCACATTTTGTTTATCCTTTCATTAGCCAATGGCGATACCTAAGCTGTTTCCATCTTTTGGCTGTCGTGACTAAATCGGCAACGAACACCGGGATACACGTCTTGTACAGATGTGTGTTGTTAATTCCCTGGGTGTATATGCAATCAGGAGTGGAACTGCTGGGCCAGATGGTAACTCCGTGTTTAACTTTCAAGGAACCACCAGTTTTCCAAGGGGTCCACACCCTTTAACCTCCCCGCCAGCAACACACGAGGGCTCTGGGTTCTCCACAGGCTTGCTAACCCGTGTTAACACCCCTTCTTAGAACTGACACGGCACGGGTGTTAAGGAGGCCCGAGACCTACTTTTATTTTTTTTTTCAACATACTTAATCCTTTTTGTAATTTTTCTGCAGATGAAATATAAATAAGAGATTCTCTGTAATAATAAGGATACAAAAGCTGACATTTACTAGATTCTTAACTCTGGACGGGCTCCTGTAGTACTGTGTGTTTTATTGCTTTGAATATTTGCAGAAAACCCTGAGTTTCCAACCTACAGACGAGGTACAGAAGTTACCTGATGAGCATTATTACAACACTGCCCCAAAGCCCAAATTCTTAATCATCCACTGTGACATCCAAGACCCCGCCTCTCCTTGGGGCGCCTGGGGGGGCTCGGTCAGTTGAGCGTCTGACTCCCGGTTTCGGCTCAGGTCATGATCTCATGGTTCGTGAGTTCGAGCCCTGCATCGGGTTCTGTGCTGACGGTGTGGAGCCTGCTTGGGATTCTCTCTCTGCCTGTCTCTCTGCCCCTCCCCTGCTCATTCTCTCTCTCAAAAAATAAAAAATAATAATTTGTAAATCCGCCTCTCCCTTCTGCTGAATTGTTCTGCCTGTTCACCCAAAGAACAGTTTCAATGAGCCACCGTGTGTCATCCATATATTTTCCCACTGGAAAAAAAAAAAAAGTCTTTCTTGAGATGATTTTTCACAAGTCAGCCAGGTACAATTTATCATACTCTGAATGCTAACAAATTCTGGGGATGCAAAACCTATAGCGTACACATAAATAATTTGACTCAGCAGTGTAAACATTAATTCAATGCTTTTTTTTTTTTTTTTTTTTTAAATGAACAACCTAGTTTCTCTGAGTTGTTGTGATACTTCTCTCCTTCTGGGTTTTTTATTAGCTCACTGGTGCCAATAGAAATGGGTTCGAAAACTGATTAGCCCCGAGGAAGATTCTGTAATCAAATAAATCTGAAGTAAGGCATGCTTTCAATTTTGTTTAGAGGGGAGATATTTTTCCCCACTATGCTTTGTTTCCCAAAGAAAGCTTCGTATCTTTTGTGTTCGAAAACACGTCCGCTTCTGTGATTTCAAAGGACAGGAGAACAAATTCTGTTTGTAACTGGCCAATTTCAGCTCCTGAGAAAGACTGTGGAGGAAGTGTATGTGAATAAGATCTGAATAGAGCATATTATTAGATCTCAAAGAGAATCAATAGAATCTAATGTAGTTTTCCTTGCATTGCATCAATAAAGCAAGGTTGTTAGGAAGGCATTACAATCTTGTCTTCTCTCCTTGGTTTGAAAGCTTGTCTTTTCTGTTGTGGTGGTTGATTTGCCCCCGGGTCGTCTGTCCCGAGGAATAATTTGTTTGGTTTTGTAATGCATCATCGCTGCCAGCGTCACTGAAGGCTCAGAACACCTAGGGAGATAAATAGATGTTATTTTTATTATCTGTGCTTTATAAATACATTTTAACTTGGAAAGATTACACGGTCGAAGTCCCACATTCAGCTGCGTCAGAAGGCCGCACCACAAGAGTTCTACGCTGAGCCTTAATCTGCTTACAATCAGGCTGAACCTGGGGGGATCGCAGGCTCACCCCCCATTTCACTGCAGGTGAAATTTCTTTCCTCACGGCTGTGGCGGCTAGAAATCTGCAATCAAGGTGTGGGCAGAGCTGGTTCCTTCTGAGGCCGGGAGGGAAGGGTCGGTGGGGAAGGAAAATTCTGTTGTTTACACCACTCATCCTGTGGGGTCTTGTAAGGGCCTCCCCAGCAAACGACCACGACTGCAGGGCTGTCGCCGCCACGTTACTGATGATGAATCAGAGACCCCTGGTCTCCCGACAGCCCAGTGCCCCAGGGTTGTGCCTGCGAGGCTTACGGTGCTACAGCCCAGAGAGCACAGACATCCCAGCTGTCTGGTGCTCCCGAGCCCCATGCTGAGCTTGGACACCATGGAGGAACAGAGGGAACCCGCGTCCCTCTCCTCTTTGGTCAGCAAATCTTAATGAAAGACTTGACACTTGGTCAACTGGTCGGAGGCTGAGGTGAGCTTTCTCTCTCCAGCGGCCTTGCCAGGAGAGTTTCTCCTGGGAAACCTTCACTCGTGTTCAGATTCCCAGCCCCTCTGTTCTGACATCCAGTGCTTTTGGGAAAGAGGGCCCCTTGGCTCTCGTAAAGCAGTCTGCTCTGTCCCCTTGGGAGGAGTCCCGCCTCTTCACTGGGATCTGATCTCGGGTCTCTGTCTCTGGAAGCGGCAGAGTCCCACTGACGTGGGGGCTGACAGACTATCCCACGGGGCTCCCGACGGTACCATTCAAAGGGTGGTCTGTGCAGGAGGCCCCGACAGGCTGGGTTACTGCTCCCCAAGATGAATACAGAAGGTGACAGTGAGCATTCAGCAGCATCCACACCAACTCAACAGCAATGCTCTGTCAGTGGGATCTAATAAAAACAAAAAAAGAAAGAAATGAGCTTGTATTTCATGTCTTTTTTATACAATAATTTCATTTTTTCTCACCACACATCATCCCCTATTGCGAATAAGAAAACTTCACCACGGATAGTTTAAGAAGCTCAGCCCAGAGGTCTGCGTAAGCGACTGAGGAGGCATAAAGGTAATGGTGAGGCACAGAGAGCAGTTAAAGACTGAAGCCCTGACCTTCAACTTGATGGTACTTGGAGGTGGGGCCTTTGGGAGGGAATCAGGTTTAGATGAGGTCATGAGGGTGGGGCACCCACGATGGGATTAGTGTCCCTGTCAAAGGAAAAGCCACCAGATCTCTCGCTCTCTCTGCCAAGTGAGGACACAGTAAGGTGTCTGTCTGCAAGCCAGGAAAACTCTCACCAGGAACTGCATGGGCCAGCACCCTGACTGATCTGAGACTTCCGGCCTCCACAACTGTGAGAAGGAAGTGGCTTCTTCTGTCACAGTGTGTTGTGACAGCCCCAACTGACCGAGACCCAGGCTCTGCTACTGACAGCCCAAGTCGCTGTGGCTCAGGCCGGCTCCTGCTGTCTGGGGCCACCTCCAGCAGTAGCGTGTCTTCTCTCGGGTGTTTATCAGAAACGGCCTGGGTTCCCAGGCCATGGCACGACAAAGCCACGTCCGAAGGACACAGCCCCGCCCATACAGGTGCTGTGTGTGAAGGCAGGTCCCAGGGCACATCACACCCCAGTCCCTTCCTACTGCCTGATGGGGAGGCCACACCTCACCCTCATGCCCCCTCGTGTGAGGCCACCCGACAGATTTCTGTCTCCAGAAGGAAGGGCTGGCGGCTCAGGATCCCATAAAGCTGGTCCCACCTCAAGGTGAGGCTTCCTCCAGGAAGCTCATCGCCTCCTTCCTTGGCAACTAAAAGCTTCCTTTAAGCTCCATACTGCAATAGTTTCCTCCTCTTTCACAGAAATGGTAAGTTCCATTTTTCTACATTTGTAAAAAAAACTTGTATCAAGAAAAAGGCGATCTTGATATAACGCAATCTGCACAAGACTTATTTTTCTTGTTTTAGAAAAAACGGTCCAGATGTTTTAATGTTGATGAACAGCCATCCCAACCTTTCACAACAGGCCTGAGCCTGCAGCTTTAGTCATTCGTTTCTCAATTATCTTGGGAGAAGTAGGTCAGGGAAGAAAGCAGGCCCAGGAGGCCGGGGGGTGCAGGAAAGAAAGACAGGAGATGGCCCTGCCATGAACTGAAGTGACCCTGGGCAGGTGCATGCACCCCACAAGGGCTGGGAGCGCTGTGACCCCAGACTTCTGGATGCAGTTGCTTTCGACAGCGCCCCCGCCCTGTCCTTTGGGTGACCAGACGAGCAACCACGCGGCCTGGACCGAGCCTCCCCTCCGCCCCCTTCACTCTCCGGGCCGGCCTGGTGGGAGGAAAAGCAGCCAGAAGATAAGCCGCAGAGAGAAAGCCAGGGGAGCAGTGGCTTCGGGCCCCTGCAGTTCTCTCCACAGGGTCTCTGTAGCGGGTCAGTGCACACAGCTGACACCCCGACCACTTCTCCTTCCTGCCCAGCAAGTAACTGTGTCAGCCTCCTGCTCCTCCCACCCTTCTTCCTTCCTGCCCTGTGCTGCCTCCTGCTGCCTCGGTCCCCTCCCCTGCACCCCGGCCCCCCCCCCCCCCCCCGCCCCCCCCCCCCCCCGTTCTCCTGCCACCCGCCCCCGATCCCGTGACAAAGCCTCGATATTTCCACAGCATTCACAGTGGACAGAGCATGTTCATCCGATCCTAACAGATTCACTGGATTCTGAACAAAAGTCACCAGATCTGGGGTGCTGTGATTCCTACCCCCGCCTCCCCTACCTGCCCGGTGCCGCTGTAAGCAGACAGCCTGCCCGCGGACAGTGGCTGGGGATGTCAGGACTTGATGTGCACACATTACCTCCTGTGAGCCCGGCAAACCCTGTGAGGCAGGTGGTAGTTCCTTTTTTTTTTTTTTTTTTTAATTTAAAGAGAAAGAGGGAGAGAGGAACAGAGGGATGGGGAGAGAGAGAGAGAAACAGAGAGAGAGAGAGGGAGAATCCCAAGCAGACTCCATGCTCAGTACAGGAGCCCGACACAGGGCTCAATCCCCCGACCGTGGAATCACGACCTGAGCTGAAACCAAGAGTTGGACGAGCAACCGATTGAGCCACCCAGGCGCCCCTATAGCTCCTTTTTCATAAACATGAAAAGTGAGGCTCACTTCGGTACCTGGAGGCACAGTGGGTGCCCTGGTGTGGCAACTGGTCTTGAAAAGAAACTTGGTCACGTGCTGACTCCGGGGCGGTGCAGAGCCGGTAAAAGGCAGAGGTGGGCTCAGCCGTGCCCCCGTGCCACGCTAAAGCCCCTCTCCTCCACTAGGCACCCCTGCTCTGGCCTGTGCCCTTCCCCTGCAGTGGTGTGGGCTCGAGGATGCCCAAGCAGTTAGGGGACCTGGAATCTCGTCGGGGGGGCGGGGGGGGAGCAGACTCAGAGCCTCTGCAATGGCCCAGCGGAAGGGGAGCGGACAGACCACGAGGACCAGCTCTCCACGCGGAAAGCGCATCGGACGCGGCTGCTGGGTGCCTGGGGTGGTTCTGCCCCTGGGAACTGTGGGGGCTGTTAGTTTGGACTGGGTTGGGTTAGGCCAGTAATTTGGGTCTGGATGCTTGGCGGGGTCAAGGAAGCTGGAGGTCAGCCCTGCCCCAAATGCCAACAGGGTCCCGTGAAGAATCACCGAGCCCCTTCAGCTGCCTGCTTCTTTCGCATTCGCTCCCTCACTGCTGTCTTGACACTGGCCCGGAGGACAATACCCAGTGCTTCTGGGGTCCACTGGCTGCTTTCAGGCTGCGGGAAGAGCAGGGCATTCAGAAACCCGTGACCAGGCCTCTCTGTGCTCGGGGCTTTTAATCTCCTTAATTGAAATTGATTGGTCTCTTGGGAGGTAGCTCTGCATTGGCCCTGAGCTTCAGCATGTGATCAACTTTTGCTTCTTTCTTTTAAAGACCAGTTGACACACCAGGGCATCTAATCTTATCCCAGAATCCCGGGCCCCCTTCCAGACGAGGAGCAAAACCAGAAACAAGCACACTTACAAAAACAGCTCAGGAAATAAAAGCGCCTGATAAAAATAAGGGGAGAATATTCTTGTCCCATTGTGGCTGAGCGTTATACAAAAGGCCAGTCAAAACCCCATTACCAAGGAAAGATGTAATCACACGGGGAAGGAGCCATGGCGGGCGGGGGCGGCTTGCCTTCTGAAGCTCACGAGATAAACAGGCCGGGCTGGAGCGTATCTAAGAACCAGCTGCAAAATAGATAAATGGGAAGAAAAGTGAAAGCCCTTCTTAAGTTAAAAGAAAACCAAACATTGAGAGAATTGTTTGAGCATCCAGACTTGCATTCATCCTGACGTGCAACAGTCACCCCAAAGTGGCTGGGGCTGGTTTACAAACTGGTTTGGCAGGTCATAGCTCTTGGCGAAGCCTTTGATAGGGCCCCTTAACTGACCAGGCTGATCGCATAGCCTGGAAATATCCCCCTGGGGGCTCTCCTGTGCCTCCTGTGGGTCATTTCACCAACTGGACGCTAGGCTTGAAAGAGGCCGTGTTGAGGAGGCTCGGGCCACTCCATGGCTCGCAAGCCCTCGGCTCTGTCCCTGCAATAGCGGCGTGGAGTGGCAGCAGACACAAGAAGTACCTCAGAGGTAAGGGAACCCAGCAGTGACAAGTAATCATTACAAGTAACAAACTCATGCTAAGAACATCTTGCTGCCTGGCCTTGTAAAGATAAGGTTTAAGGGGATCAGGATATGTTAGCCCAAAACATACTACCTTGGCAGAAGGATTATTTTAAGCTGAAGGCATCTGAGACTCAACAAAATGCAGGAAGAATTCTCTTCCCTCCTCTTTTCCACCTAAAAGCAGGACATCAACTTCCCTTTGTGAAAGTGTCTCCATCTCCCACACTAGGAAGAAAGTGACTCTTGCCACCAAGACAGTCCTCACTGAGATGAGTCTGTGTAAACAGACCTTACTAAAAAAAAACCCTTCATCTTCCCATACATAGCCTAGTCATTTCATAGCATGTGGTTCCTCAAAGCACAAACCTCCTTTCCTTTGAAAGAGATGGTGTACAAGCCCCCAAGTCAAGTCTAATGACCCGAGTTTCACTTCTTTTTCTGTGAGCTCCTGTCCAAGTAAGATATTAATACAATTTGTATTCCTTTTCTCCTGTTTGTCTGTTTTTTGTTGGCCACATTTGCAGGCCTCCAGGCACTGAACCTAAGAGGGTAGAAGCAAAGTTTTTCCTCCCCGACAATGTCAAGACATCCCGATTTAAAAAGCAGAGATCTAGCTTGTTTGCTGGAGAAGCTCCATTTTCAAATAAATTCAAGTTGGAAGTGGCCCTTTGTCTCCCCTTTCCCTAGGTGCAGGAATGGGACTTAAGGATCAAGGAGGGGTGAGCTCTATAAAAATGAAAGCCGAGTCTGTCCCAGTTGTCACGGAACTAGTGTCTACAGGTGCCGCCTACCACATAGCAGGCACTCAACCCATCAGTGGAAGAATGGATACTGGCTGAAATTTCCAAAAATGGGATTGGAGCAAATGCATAGTGTGGAAGGTAAAACTATAGTTTATTGAATATGGGCTCCCATATTCAATAGAAGAATTGGCAATAGGAGAGGTCACTTCTTGGCAGTCGTGACGGTGTCTTCGAGTGGGGCAGGTGAAGTCAGGATATTCCCCATTTAAGGTGAGCGTTTCAGTGTCCAGTGGATTAGGATTGAATAAGGCTCACGACAGAAAAGTTCAGGATCGTGGGCACGGCAAGGTGTGTTCACAGTCATTCACTGCTATCTTTCGAAGCGAAGCCGGTTTAAGCGGGTTTGGGGAAGTTCCTCAAGCAATAGTTGGTTGCAACTTTTATCTTCCTGGGCGAGCGTTTCTACAACAGTAAAATGATATTGGGGAAGACAGTGGAATCAAGTCTTTAGTGAAGACTGCACAGTAGTGTACGTCATAGCCATGTTGATGTAGATGTAAGCAAACTATGTGGGAGCTGGTCTCAGTCCTCAAGCTGAAGACGTAGATAAACCATTCTCCTTCCATAGTATGACATAAACAGACAAGTAAGCCCTGTTTGTTCAGAGGCTCTGAGATAGGTGTGGTGGCTAATTTCTGGCTATCGAGGGCTGACCCACCCAAGGGAGAGGTAATTCGAGTGTGTCTTCGACCTTGATATCCGCCGAAACAGCCCTGAGAGAGGACCAGCTACAGGACTGGAAGAGCCCAGTGCAAAACGCAAATGCAGGGCCCCTTGTTCAGAAACGACGAATGTCAAAGAGTTTGACAGCTCCTCACAAAGCTAAATGTAGAATTCCCACACGACCCAGCAATACTACCCAAAGAACTGAAAATGGGGACTCGTACACGTATCTGCACACCCACACTCAAGGCAGCATTATTCGCAAAAGCCGAAAAGTGGAAACAAGCCAAGTGTCCATCAAGAGAGGAACGGATCAACAAAACGTGGTGTGCATACATACAATGGAATATGACTCATCCATAAATAGGAATAAAGTTCGGGGTGCCAGTCAGTTAAGTGTGCAACTCTTGATTTCGGCTCAGATCAGGATCTCACAGTTTGAGAGTTTGAGAACTGAGTCAGGCTCTGTGCGCACAGCATGGAGTCTGCTTGAGATTCCCACCCCCACCCCCGCCTCTCCCCCCCTCTAGCCCCTCTCCCTCTCTCAAAAATAAATAATTTTTTTTAAAAAGGAGTAAAGTTTTGACACAGACTACAACATGGATGAACCCTTAAAACATTATATTAAGAGAAATAACCTGACACAAAAGAACAAATATTGTCTGATTCCACTTACATGAAATATCCAGAACAGGCAAATTCACAGAGACAGAAATCACATGAGAGGTAATCAGGGGCTGAAGGGAGAGGGGAATGAAGGGTTATTACTTAATGGTTTTAGAGTTTATCTGGGTGAAGAAAAACCTTTGGAAATAGATAGTGGGGGTAGTTGCACAATATTGTGAATGTAATTAATGCCACTGGATTGCACACTTTAAAATAGCCAATGTGTGTACACACACACACACACACACACACACACACACACACAGGAATATTACTCAGCCATGAGAAAGAACAAAATCCTAACATTTGCAACATGGATGGATCTAGAAAGTATGATGCTGAGACACCTGGGTGACTCAGTGACTTAGGTGTCCGACTTCAGATCAGGTTATGATATCACAGTTCATGGGTTCAAGCCCCGTGTTGGACTCTGTGTGATAGCTCGGAGCCTGGAACCTGGTTCAGATTCTGTGCCTCCCTCTCTCTCTCTGCCCCTCCCCTGCTCACGCTCTCTCTCTCTCTTAAAAATAAACATTAAAAAAAAAAAAAAAGGAAGAGGATATGATGCTAAGTGAAATAAGTCAGTCAGAGAAAGACAAATACCACATGATTTCACTCATATGTGGAATTTAAGCAACAAAACAAATGGGGGCGCCTGCGTGGCTCAGTCAGTTAAGCGTGGACTCTTGATTTCAACTCAGGTCATGGTCTCATAGTTGTGAGATCGAGCCCTGCATCAGGCTCTGCACAGTGGGGGATTCTCTCTCTCTCTGCTGCTCCCCTGCTTGCACTCCCTCTCAAAATAAACATATAAAAAAAAGACACAAAGAAAAAACGACACAAACACATAGCGCACCTATTAAATATAGAGAACAGACTGGTGGTTGCCAGTGGAGATACGTGTGGCGGGCCGGGGGGCGCGCCCCATGGGTGAAACAGATGAAGGGGATTAAGAGTACACTTTCCACGATGAGCACTGGGTAGTGTATGGAAGTGTTGAATCACTATATTGCACACCTGAAACTAACATAACACCGTATGTTAACTCTACTGGAATTTTTTTTAATGGCAAATTTTATGGTACGTTTCATTTTTAATTACGGCATAATGCTATGTTATATACATTTTACAAGAGAAAATTTATTGGGGCACCTGGCTGGCTCAGTTGGAGGAACATGCAAGTCTTGATCTTGGGCTGGTTGAGTTCAAGACCCAAGTTGGGTGTAGAGATAACGTAAAAATTAAATCTTAAAACAAAACTGATTAAATGAGAACAATTAAGAAATTCAACAAGGCAGCAACGGAGCATTAATCAAGGGCAGGACCCCTCCGTGCACGGGGTTGTGTGAAGCCAGGCCTGCTTGCGACGACAGAGACCGTCCAGTTTAGGTGGCGTGCCCCATTCTAGAGACCAGGAGTGCTACATCTGGGTCACAGAAGACTTGCTGAAACTGCCCGGTGTCCAGAATCCACTCAGTGTTCAACACGGCTGGTAAAAATCGAGAGCCCTCCTTTCCCCGCTGCTACCCGTGCTCTCCCTGGCCTTCTAAAGGTTAAGTACAAGATCTAGGTTCAAAGCTCAGGAGACTTTGCAGTGTCAGCCCCGGAGGTGACAATGTTTCTGGGATGTTTTTCTCCCCATCAGTTGCGTTACTTTAACCGGCTGGTACTGTTTGCGGGGCAGATATATGTAGCCGGGGGGCAGAGGGAGCAGGAATCTGAGTCCCTTGGCTGATAATTAGGGGAGCAGTCAGTACCCACACTTCCTCACCTGGCATTCACTGAGCACGCTCCCTTCCATTTCTTCTGTTCTTCCCTTGCTACAAACGGTCTCCCTTACCTCTCTGGGACTTCCTTTCACTCCCTAGTGTGCTTGGCGACTGGTAGGTGGGGCTTACTGGAGTCCTCAAGCAGGGCACAGAGGGGATGGAGATGGCAGGTTACAGACCAACCCATGTAGCCAAGAAGGATCTCGGGCCTTGTTGTCCAATCCAATCCGAGGCTACAAACCGCATACGTGAGCGGCGACAGAAAGGTGAGCCAGGCGTGGCTCTGCCCCAAGAAACCTAATGAAAGACAGATGGCTCACCACCTTTGCCACACATGCCTTAGATATCGAGCCCTTGATCTGGGGTTTACTGAGCAGAAGGAACGCCCTTCTTTTGAGCCAAGCCAAACATGGGCACTCACAAGGTGAGCTTCCTGAGCCCTGAAGCCATCTCTTGTAATACCTGCTCACTGGTGGCCTTAAGCTCTTCTGCCTCTGAGTGGCCACTCGCCAGGAGGGTGGGGACTCTGCCTCCTGGCAAAGGACAGGCCCCAAACAAGACATTTCACATTCAAGTCATAAATAGTTGTTGGTTCTGACCCTGCCTGCCACTGTAGGATAACCCAGCCACCACAAAGGCCTCTCATCCTTTCTGGGACATCTCG